TGCTCATGAGAACCCTGTACATAGAACAAGGGTCAGTCATTTGAACAGGATAAGGGGATACTGCATGATTTAAAATTAGGAAGGGTGTATATCAGGGTTGTATCTTTTCACCATATTATTCAATCTGTATGCTAAGAAAATAATCTGAGAAGTTAGACAATATGAAGACATGTGACATCAGGATTGGAGGAAGACTCATATGCCACTTAGGATGAGATAGTTATATCCTCCCAAGGGACAGAATACTGCTTTTGCACTGTTGCCCTGTTGTGTGCTGTTGAGTCATAGAGACCCCACGGAACAAAGTAGAAATGCCCCATGGAGTTTGCAAGGCTATAACCTTTATGGGAGCAGATCACCAGGTCAGGTCTTCCACAGGGTGGCTGATAGGTTCACATTTTTCTACTGAGTGCAGTTTGCAAACTGAAGAGCTGATGTGTTTGGAGAGGACAATAAAGGGGATTGGAGACCCTGGGTGGTGCAAATAGTTCAAACGCTCAGCTGCTAACCCAAAGGTTGGTGGTTCGAGTCCACTCAGAGGCTCCCTGAAAGAAAGGCCTGGTGACCCAGTTCTGGAAAAAAGAGTGTTAAAAACTCTGTGGAGTACAGCTCTACTCTGACGCACACATGGGGGGCCGTGAGTCAGAACCCACTGGGCAGCAACCAACATAAGAGGTTGGGGGGAGGGGAGAACAGAGGTAAAAGGGGAGGGGAGAAGAGAGGGAAGGGAGAGGGAGAGAGGGAAGGGAGAGAGGAGGGAAGGGGGAGAGGAGGAAAAGCCAGGGAAGCGGGGAGAGAGAAGGGGGAAGGGAGAGGAGCTCAGAGAGGTGCGGTGAGGGGACAGCGAGCTAAGGCAGATCTCCACCAAGTGCTGCTGTCTGTGGTGTGTACCAGTCTTCCACTGTCCCCGTGGAACACACAGCGCAGAACATTCTTTCTTCCCTACTGTGTTTTACAATTGAATCTCTTTCAGAAAATGAGATGAAGTGGCAGGCAGATGACTTCAGGACAGGCGTGGGGTGAAAGATGGGCTTTCCTAAGAGGAGCCCGCTGCATCTGGGCACACAGCCAGGCAGGAGGGGAGGATATATTTCTCCATCACTGAGGGCAGCTCTTGCAGGAGAGGAGAAAATGCCTTCCCGCAGAAGCAAACATGCTGTGGGCAACTCTGGGTCCAGGAGGTCTTCCTTAGACTCTGTGTCACTTGGCAAACGGGAGACAGAAAATCCCAACAATCTGAAGAAGGGGGACCTTGGCATAAAGAATTATAGCTAATAAATGCTGAATGTGTTATTACTATTTTTTTAATTTACACAATAAAACAATGGTACCCCAAAATGATTAGAGGGTTTGGAAACACTCAGACCTGAACAGGATTCATTCAGATAAATAATTAAATTTTAGGAGAAAGAAGTTTGTGCATCAGTTAATGACACCGTGGTGTTACTCCCTATGGTCTTTTATGACCTGATTCTCTGGTTTATCCTCTGGCACCAGCCAGCGCTGGTCTCTGTGAGTGTATCTGTTCTCTGGAGCAGATAGAACTCCGGTGTGTCTGTGCATCTGTCCTCTTGAGGAGGTCGAACTGGCCTTATCTCAGGCTGGGGTGAGTGGTGCTCCGAAGTTACAGTGAAGGTGACTTACAAGGAGGAGTGTGGTGTATTGTGAAGAGTTATGGGTCTCAGTGACAGAAACTGTGGAGATAGGAAGCCCCTCGGATCTGAAGAGCAGGTGTCCTGGTGGGGGTTTGCCTTAGACTTTTGCAGGACGTAGTGGACATGTCACAGTTGGGGTGACTTACAGTGGGCATAGCCAGCTAACGAGAAATGTGCCTCTGGGGTTCAAGCTCATGTGAGGGGCCGGTCCAGTCAGCCCCCACTTCTGGTGAGCCCATAGGCGTCAGAGCAGCACCAGGCCCCCAGGGTTCTCAATGGCCGGGGTCTTTTGGAAGTAGATCTCCACACCTTTCCTCCAAGGTGCCTTGGTGTGGACTCAGACCTCCAGTCTCTCAGCACCTGAGTGTGTGAGCCATTGGCACCACTCAGAGACTCCTTCGGGGGGACACAGGTTCTAATCTCAGTTATGTGTTCATGAGACAAAAAAATGGAGAGAGGGTCTGCATGGGGCCTTGTCATGGATAAGCAAGGGTGTCATCCATGTTACAGGAGTCATGAGAGGAGTGGACAGAGTCGTGTCTAAGTCATACAGGAAAGGGTCTTTCTCAGAACACAAATGAGTGAGCAAGGGATTTCTTAATTGTGTCTCTTTCCTGGGACCCCAGGGCTCGGGCAAAATTCATCACTTTCACAGGGTTCTGTAGACTTCATTCCAGTCCTGACTCAGCCACTCACTCTCACAAGGACACAGCTCCCTGGTCCCTGAAATGATGGAAAAGAGGGAAAGCAGGGTACTAAATGTGTGTCCCATCTCAGTGCCTGTGGGAGAAGGAGCAGGTGCGGAGGGCGGGGGTGCAGGAGAGGGCGCCATCACAAAGGGGGGAGGGGGACTGGGACAATGTCACAGATGGGAGGGAGGCGTCCCTGAGGCACCCAGAGTCCTGGGCACAGGCTCAGACCAGAGAGGGAGCTGTCTGTGACTAGATCCTCCCTCTCTGTAGCGTGTGTCAGAGGGGGTGCCCAGCCGTGCTGCTGTCACTAGGCCTTGAGAAACACTAGACTGAGGGGGATAAGCCCCTTGCTTTGCCTGCCCCGTCCCCAGTCAATGCTTCTCCCCAGCTATTCCTGCCAGCGACACTTGGACTAAAGCCTGGGACAGGTTCCACCGTGATCCAACTTGCTGCTGTGGTTACCACCACCATGAAGTGTCCTCTGATCTTTGTTCTTCTGAGTGTGGCTGGTGAGTGGGGGCTTGTGCCTCCCAAATGCCATCAGGGTTGGGGTATGGAAGGAGAGGAGACAGAAGTAGCCAGCTGCTACGAAAGAGATAGACAGTGAGGGCACTTAAAAATCAGTGAGCTTGTTCTTTACAGATTGTTTAAGCTCTTTGGTTTTGTGTTTTTGTTTATGGGGATGGAAAATTTGGCAAGGGACATTGATGATGGTCACAAAACAGGACTGAGGCAACTGGCCTCTCTGAGGGGTCCACGTGATGGCAGATGCTGTGTTTCCACATTTTCACTGCAATAAAAAATGAATTAGTTAAAAAAGGAAACAAAGAAAAAAAAAACACAACCGAATGAGCTACTGCAGATGACCGCAGGATGGCCACGTGCGAGCCCCCATCAAGGCTCCCCTTCACCTGCGCCCAGGAGCAGTCCGACATGCTCACTGTAAACGCCTCCCTCCGGGGGCCTTCTCAGCTCCTGGGTGTGGTTTCCTAGGTTACCACTTTTTCTGATGGCCACCCACCCCTTTCTCAGAGCGCTGGGCAGTAGTAGAGGAATGGGCTTGGGGAGGAGGGGGATGGTCAGAGGCTCGGAAAGCCTCATGGCCCCTTCTCCCGCCTCCCCCCGTTCCTTCTACCACCAGAGTCAGGCTGCATCTCACTTTACCCGTGACCTCGATCCTTGGAAAAGTCCTTAAAGTAATCACTCATCATTACCGTGCACAGCTCTGCCGGTCCGCGCCTCCTCTCAGCATGAGGAAGGCCCGTGAGTCAGTGACTCAGAGCTGCAAACACAGAGACACCGTGTCAATCTGCTGAAGTATAGAGCTTAGGAAAGAGCCCTGGTGATGTGACAGTTACACACTTCCCTGTTGACCAACATGCTGGTAGTTGGAACCTATCGAGCAGCTTCACGGGAGAAAGACCTGGTGATCTCCTCCCGTGACGACGACACGGCGCTCGTGCGCCACTGAGGGTCAGCACTGACTGGAAGCAATGGGGTTTGTTTCCTTTTATGTATATAGCTTGGGGGACATCGATGATTCCCTTGGATTTAAAAAAAAATTAAAAAGCATATCAAAGAAAGAAAAATAAATAAACTAAGAACTCTGATATTAAGTTTGAAGACTTTGAACCAAAAATCCAAACCCACTGCTGCTAAGTCAATCCCAACTCATAGTGACCCTGAAGGAGAGAGGAGAAGGTTGGGAAAATGTGACCTGACCACTTCTGACCTCTCAACTTTTCTGTCTCTCTGTCCCCGTGACCCCACCAATTCTCCAGCAGTCGCTCTGGCCTCCCATTCTCGACATGCTGATTTTGACTTACCACAGGATTTCACTCTTCCTTACATGGTCTACCTGCAGTCCACCCGCAAGCCCTGTGTGGGGTCTCTCATTCACCCGGAGTGGGTGCTGACGGCAGCTCACTGCCCTCCCCCGTAAGTACCCTTGGCTCTGGGACCTGGGAAGGGCTGCTCAAACAGAAGGAGGTCTGGTGGGCCATCCCAGCAGGTTTTGTCTCAAATGATATCTTACTGTCTTTCGGGTGAAGGTTCACACAGTAGTTTAGGTTCCCATTCAACATTTTCTACACACACGTTGGTCACATTCTTCACAACGCACGGACATTCTCACGATTTCTGTCCTGGGTGTTCTGCTTCCCAGCAATGGCATCGCAGAGGAATTCGAAGTCCCAGGAAGAAAGAGCGTCTTTTCCCCAGTGGGGGAGATGATGCACTTTTGGAAGTTTTAGAAGAGATACTAGAAAGTTATGGTTAGGGTTAGGGTTAGGGTGGGAGCTCTGGTGGCATAGTGCCTAAGGTGCTGACTGCTAACCAGAGGCTGGCGGTTCAAACCCACCAACCACTCCTCAGAAGGAAGGTTGGGCAATCTACTTCCATAGTAATACCGCCTCAGAAACCCAAGGAGGGGTCGCTAGGAGTCGGGTTCAACTTGACGGCACACAACAACCACAACAACAGCCAGAAAAGTGCCAGGAGAATCTCTCTCACAGGGAGTAAATCCCGTCCATTCATTCAACAGTCACTTACTGAACACTTACTCTATGCCAGGGAACTGGGACTATTGAGCATTGGGCAGAGGGAGAAAGACAGAAGCAAGTGTCCCCCTCAGGAGCTTACCTTCAAGTAGGGGAGATAACCCAAAACAGATGAATGACAGGCAATATAAAGGAGTGTAAGCTATAAGGAAGAAGTACAGCCAGAATGTTCCTCACAAGCAAGGAGGACGAGACTTCGTCTCATGGGCTTTGGACATGTTATCAGGAGGGACCTGGACTAGAGAAGGACATCACACTTGGGAGAGTAGAGGCTCAGGGACAAAGAGGAAGACCCTCAATGACGTGGATTGACACGTGGCTGCAATAATGAGCTCAGACACAGCCATGATTGTGAGGATGGCCGTGGACCAGGCTGTTGTACATGGGGTCATTGTGAGTCAGAACTGACTCAATGACCCTGACAACAACATGCTGCAATATGAAGGGACTGAACAAGAGATCTATCTGTGGCTGAGTCAAGCCCTCTGAAGTGAAAAGTCCAACAGGGAAAGAGGCAGGCAGCCCAGGAAGGGGTATATTACAGGCAGAGGGGACAGTATACATTGAGACCTGAAGTAGTCAAGATACCTGGGTATTTGGAAAATGTGTTAACTGAGTGTAATGAGCAGCAGGTGCTCACAAGATGAGGTTGAGGAATTGTGCAGAGCCATATATTGCAGGAAAGAGAAGGCAAGGAAACCCTAGGCAAGACAATACATTCCCTGCACATCTCAGCGTGTTGTGTGTGAGAAAGCGCTGTGTGATTTGTACCTGCCTTAATGTCATAGGGCTGCTACCAAAACAGGGTGACTCTGAACAAAAGAAAGAGATTCTTTCACAGCTCTGGAGGCTGGACATTCTCCATCAGAGTGTTGGCCAGGCCATTCTCTCTCTCTCTCTCTCTCTCTCTCTCTCTCTCTCCCTCTCTCTCCCTCTCTCTGCTCTAGGGCAAGAAAATTCTTTGTCTCTTTTGGCTCCTGGTACCTTAGGTGTTTCTTGGCTTGAAGCTGCAGCATAACTGCAATTTCTGTCTGTCTTCACATGGTGTCTTCTCCCTGCATCTGGGTCTCTGGGTCACTTCTCCTCTTGTGTAAGGACAACATTCAGACAGAATTGGGACCCACCCTACTCTAGTTTGACCTCATGTGAACTGAATATGGTCATCCTCACAGGTCTGGGGCTTAGGGCTTCAGCCTCTCTTTTCTGGAGACACAATTCAACATCATGCCAGGTTTTTACATGCATCATCTCTAATATAACAATCCTACATTGTTATTACTCTATATTCAGGGGAAGATCACTTGCTTTCTCAGGTCTAAGAGATACAATTAGACAAGTGGAGAAAGTGACCTCTGACATTTCTAACATTGTGTGACCCTGTGCTTTCCCATCTCCCTGTACTTTTTCTCCTAAAGTGATAAAATCAGACTGGGAGTCTATCAACCCAGCAGCCCAACTAGGAAGGAGCAGAGACGAGACCCCTTGTTCACCGTGCCCCATCCTGAGTTCCATGCACATACTATGAGCCATGACCTGATGTTGATCAAGCTGTCCAAGGCTGCCAACATCAACCGCCATGTGGGGACCATAGCCATAGCCTTGGAGCCCTTGACCTTCAATGAGTCCTGCTTCATCCCCACCTGGACCTGGAATGACTACAAAAACTGTAAGTGCTAACCCTGTGGGCTTAGTCCAGAGGGAGTTGGAGCTGGGGCCCATGTGGAGGACCATCCTCGAGGGAAATAGCTGCTAGAGGTAATGTTCTTGACCTTAGAGCTGTTACTGCCAAAGCTGGAACAAAGAGATATAATACAAAGAAGTTGAAATAGGCCAGTAGTCCAATGACCCTGAACCATAGCTGTTGAATCAATTCCAACTCATAGAGAGACTGTTTAGGACAGAATAGAACTTTCCAATAGGGTTTCCAACGCTATCATCTTTATGGAAGCAGACTGACACATTTCTCCCATGGAGTGGCTAGTAGATTCAAACCACTAGTCAACCTTTCACTTAGCAGCTGAGCACTTAACCACTGTACCACCACGGTTCCTTAGTCATGTGACCTCCCCCCCCCCAAAAAAAAAACCAAAAAGGCACAGGCAGTGGTTGTTACATCTCAAAAACATTTAAGATGAAATTGTAGAACTGTGTGGACTTTTCTCAGGGATTTCTGTGTGTAGGCAACAGGGCTGGTCCCAAGAGCAGACATGACAAGGAGAGTGACGATCTCACCTGCCTTCTCTCCCACAGTCACTGATCCCGACCTCCTGGCATGGATCTACCAGCACTCTCTGCCCTTCAGTGAGTGCCAGGAGATGCTCCTCAAGAGAAGCTATGGGAACATAATGTGTGTGGGCCGTCCTCTGAAGGTCTCATCCAAGGTCAAGGTACTCTCCTTCCTGAACACACAACGGCAGACTCCAAATGGCCTGGTCTAAGCTATCTGGGGCTGCTGTAACAGAAACACCACACGTGGGGGCCTTAACACTCAGAGGCTGGCTTTCTCCTAGTTGAAGAGGCTGGAGATCTGTACTCACGGCACTGCTCTAAGGGAAGTTTACCTCTCTCCCTCAGCTCTGTGGGAAGGTCCTTGTCTCTCTTCAGCTGTTGTTCCTCAGGTTCTTGGTGATCTTCATGTGGCTTGGCATCATCTTCCCCCATCTCTGCTTGCTTCTCTGTGCCTAATCTGCTCATTTTACATCTCAAAGGTGATTGCCTTAAAACATACCCTACACTGCTAATGGATTCATTAACATAACTAACAAAACCCTATTCAAAAATGGGTTCACATCCATGAGCGTTGGGATTTACAACACATACTTTTGGAAGACACAATTCAATCCACAACGACACTCGTCCAAAGAGGATGTGTAGTGATTACTCCTCCTGTCCAGAGTGGGAGAGACCTGGAAGAACACCTGTCCTTTCTCCTCCTGCTTGCACTCAAGTTGGGTCAAGCTTAAGTCAATAGAGGTGATACCCAACTACACACGAAGTGGGGTTGTCATCCCTCAAGGAGTTGAACACGTCCCTTAGCTGTCTCTGTTACTGTCATGGGCCATTTCTTGGGATCCACTCCTGTTTCATGACTACAGAATGCCCTAACCTCTGGTTTCCTCTCTCCAACAGGAAGTTTCAGCTGCTCCAGCCATTTGCACTGGGAGGCTGCATGGAATCCTGTCCTGGGCCAAAGGCAGCATCACCCTGGGAAGTGAAGGGTTCTTCACAGAAGTTCATCCCTACGCAAGATGGATCATGAAAATCATCAACACCCACTGACGCCCCTCAGTCCTCCATGCCCTGGGTGCAGCCTCCTCATAATTCTACATGGGGCCCACCACCTCTTCATCTTTCCTGTTCTTGAACTGAGTCTAGATAAAAAAAAAAACATTCAATAAAAAAGCCACTAAGAACGCCTACTACAAGTTCTGTTCTTTATCATAGGAACTGTAAGAAGGGTGAGGGATCTAACAATACTCCCTCTCATTCAAAAATTACCAGCTCTTTTGGCATTGCATATGCTGGGGATGCATGAGTGAATAGCCTAGGCCACTCATGAGCCAATTACAGTACCTTGTGACAAGTGCTATAATGGTGATGAGCACTAAGTGACCCAGAGGACTGGAAAATGGCTCAGGCCTGGAGAATCAGGGATGGTGCCACAAAGGCAAACAGATGAAGGGAGGAGCTTGTGAAGCTGAGGGAGTAGCTTACAAAAGGACAGAGAGCGGCATACACTAGAAAATGCATGAAATTAACTAACACTGTTGGGTGGAACATACATCATCTGCAGAGGAAGAGAGGGGAGCTCTGGTGGGTTAGTGCCTAAGGCATTTGACTGCTAACCAGAAGGCTGACAGTTCAAACCCACCAGCCACTCCTCAGAAGGAAAGTGGGGCAATCTACTTCTGTAGTGATACTGCCTCAGAAACCCAAGGAGGGGTCACTATGAGTTGGATCTGACTCGACAGCAGTGAGTTTGGTTTTGGTTTGGTGTTTGGTTGGGTAGAACATATATCGTCTGCAGAGGAAGAGAGACAATGCAGGTAAAGATGATTCCAAACAGGTTGGCAAGGGTTAGCTTCTGAAGGGTCTGCCCTGATGGACAAAGAAATTTAAATGTTATCTTGTGAACATTAAACAAAATCAAACCCATTGCCGTTGAGTCAATTTCCACTCATTGTGACCCTACAGAGTTGAACTGCTTCACAGGGTTTCCAAGGCTGTAGATCGTTACAGAGCAGAATGCCACATCTTTCTCAAGCAGAGTAGCTGGAGGGCTCAAACCGCCAACCTTTTGGTTAGCAGTCAAGTGCTTTAACCACTGTGCCCTCATTGGGAAATGGTTAATGCCTCTATGACACAGTAAGCATCATCAGATTTCTGAATTAAGAGCTAACACTAAAGAGACAGAGAGGGAGTCCCAGGGAAGCACAAGGAGTTCAGGAAGTTGGAGGCTTGAGTCCACCTACAGGTGCTTGGAGGAAAGACCTGGCAATCTTCTTCCAAAAGATCAGTCATTGTCAACTCTATTGGACACAGTTATACTCTGACACACTTGGGGTCACCATGAGTTGGAATCAACTTGACAGCAATCGGTTGGCTTTGGTTAAGGAAATGGAATCTACAAGACTGAGATGTATTAACCGTGAGAAGAAAAAGGGATGAGAGGAGTCTGAGGTAACTCCGGGGTTTCTGATTTGGGCACTGGGTAGACAACAGTCATTAACAAGAACATGAGGCGGCCCCAGTGCTTCATGATATGGTTGAGAGTATACTTGGAAAGTATACGTGAGGCAGGTTGTGTTTGAGGTCACTGGGGACATAAAGGTGGTCATTTCTAGCAGGCAGCTGGAGACAAAGACCTGGAGTGAAGATGATGACTGGGCATGCACGAGTGAATGGACAACTGGGAGTCCTAATTTATGAGGTTGCTGCAGCTTGTGGCAGGAGTCTTTGCCCCTGGCAGTGGCTCTGGACAGGGCTCAGCTCACCTCCCACACTGGCACGTGGGACAAGATGTGCCACACTCCAGACCTGGACAACCACCCAAGCACAGAGGCAGAGCCAAGACTACCCCATAGTGTGGGGCCAGAGGGATACATGAGAGGCCGTGGGTAACACACAGGGGAGAGACAGTGAGAGTCAGGCTGGTCTATTAAAAAGGTGAAGAGGGATACAGAGGGCCAGTGAGAAGGGGACAGAAAATGAAGCCACAGAGAGAGGCTTTGCCCTGCAATGGGCAAAACAGCATGGAGTCCCTTCCCAAGAGGTCAGACTCATGTGTCTGTAGAGACCGCAGAGGTGTGGGAAGGGGGTGGGAGGGAGGGGAGTGTGAGGCAGCTGGGGTGGGGGAGAGGCCCTGAGGGTCTGAGGCTGCCCTGCCGGCTGTACCATGTGAACACTGATATGCCTCGGGTATGGGCACTTTCCCATCTCCATTAGAGCACAGCCATGTGGGGTTCCTTAGGCATCAGTCTGCCCTGAGCATGGACGCTTGCCCTCCTCTATCAGAGTCAACAGTTGGCTAGGCTAGGTCTGAGATCCAGGCTTGCTCTGACACACAGGATCATCTCTGCTCTCATAGTGGTTAAGTGCTTGGCTACTAACTGACTGGTTGGCCGTTCAAGTCCACCCACAGGCTCCTTGGAAGAAAGACTAGTGATCTGCTTTCAAAAGATGGCAGCCATTAAAAACCCCACGGAGCAGTTCTACTCTGACACACACAGGGTTGGCATGAGTCTAAATTGACTTGATGGAAATGAGTTTGTGATTTTTTCCTTTTTCTTGCAGTCTTTGGCCCCATCCAAACTGCAAGGCCCTCTGTTTGTTTGCCTGTCTTCTCTGGCAGCTGTGAGACCATTTCTCTCCCTGCTTTTATTATTATCCACCTGCCCAGTGCTCCTGGCCCTGCCAACTCTGCACCCCCCCCCAGCCATGTTTATTGACTGACATCCGTACATGTCTACTTACACTCTCCCTCCTTATGGAGACCTCTCTCTAGACCCCCACCTCACCAGAGCCTCAGCTTCCCCTGGTAGCCAGTGCATCTCCTATACCCTGTAAGGTGGAGGCCTCCCTCCTACTTCCCAACAGCATGGGCATGAGGATGGATGGAGGGGTGAGGCCACAAGTCAGCACTCTATGCTCTTCAGGTCCACCCCAGGCTAGAATCCCGCCACTTTCAAGGGGACACCTCATCTGATCACTTAAAACCTCTGCTCCTCACCCTCTTTTTCTTTTTGTCACACCTGTCTTAAAAACGATAACCCTGAATCAACCCTACAACTCCTCTTTCCTTATTCTTTTTATACCCAGCTGTGAGGGCAGCTGGAGACTATGATTCATTGTTGACCTCAGTTAAGCCATCAATCCAGTGGTGCAAATCGTTCCTGGCCCACACCACCCCCTGTGTACATTCCACCCTCCTTCATTGTGTAGCTTCTCCTTGCCTTTCACAGAGAAAGTAGAGACAGACACATTCCAAGTCAATCATTTTCTTCTCTTCCACCTTCAGACAATCTGCATCTTCACCAACCTCCTCTCCTGCCTTCCATGCTCAGAGAAGACTCTCCCTCTGGCTCATGGCTGATTCTTGCCCTGTGCCATGATCTCACCTAACACCAGGACCTTGCATCAACACCTGGTCCTTCCAACTCCTGTATTTTAGATATCTCCCTCTCTGTGTCACCTTGCACTCAGCCTTTAAACATTCTCAAGTAACATGTCTGCTGTGGATTGAGTTGTGTCCCACAAAAGATATATTGAAACCCTAACCTTCAGTACCTGTTATGTGAACTTCTAGGAAATAGTTTTGTCTTGTGTTTTTACAAGTGATCAGCTAAGTTAATGAAGTCATACCAGAGTAGAGTGGGTCCTAGCTCCTTCTGAGTGATCTCTTATAAAAGAGAAAACAGACACGGAGATACACAGGAGCAGACGCCATGTGATGACAGAGGCAGAGACTTCAATACACAGCAATGGAACACCAGGGATTGCGGCAGGGACTGCAGCAACCCCAGAAGCTGGGAGAGAGCCCACAGAAGGATCGAAGTGACCAAGACCCAAATCTGGACTTTCAGCCTCCAGAAAGATGAGAAAATAAATTTCTGCTCTTTAAAGCCACCCACTTTGTGGTATTTTGTTACCACATCCCTAGAAGACACTGCCTTTGCCAATGCTCTTCCTCTCCTTGAATATCCCCACCACCACCACCCCTTCTTTTTGTGACAAGCTTCTTCTCCTTTTCTAACATCCAGGTCAAGTATAACTTCTGGGCACACCTGTCTTATACACCATGCATAAGGAAGAAGTGTTCTTAACTCTGTCTCTAAGATACACCTACCTTAGTTTTTAGGTCTGAATACTCTGTATTGTAACTGCCTGTTACATATCATTTGTTCCCACTCTCTTTAAGCTCCTTAAAGGCGGGAATGGTATCATTAAATTGAAGTATCCCAACACTAAGCCCAGAGCCAAGTACAAGTTGCAGACATATATTATTTGTTGGTTGGTTGGTTGGGTTGCTTGATTAGTGCGTGAGTACATTGGTTGGTTGGTTGGTTGTTGATTAGGTGAATGAATGAGATGACTTCATGTCAGACTGAGAGAGAAAGGTCAACCCAGAGGCCATGTATCCAGTGGAGGTAAGTGTCAATGACACACAAAAGGGGACTAGCATCACACAGACGGGAGGGTATCACTGTCTCACATGTGTCCAGTGAGGGGACTGCCTGCAGAGTTTGACAAAGAGGAGGCCAGAGAGGAGGTAGCTGTGGATATACCAGGAGCATCCACTTCTCCCAGGTTAGATACCTTCTTCTCTGAACCATTATTTCCAGGTCAGACCAAGTCATCTGACTTTTGCCTTGGCCCCTTGGACACTTGCTCACCTGGATGGAAATGTTTTCTGGAACTGTGTCCTTTCACTGAGCAGATTCAGAGGCTACTTCCTCTTGACCCCAGGACCCCATCGTGGTCTATCTCATTTACCCCGCTCCCTCCCTCCTGCTTCTGGGAACCTGAGCTGTACTTCATCCCTGACAGGTTTTGGACACCATGATGAAGTTCATCCTCCTCTGGGCTCTCTTGAACCTGCCAGGTGAGTGTCCACACATTGCTCTGTATACCTGCCAAAGAACCCTGGGGGAGTGAGAAAGGTGGTAGAAATGGGCACAGTTCCAGACCAGAAGTGCAGGGCTGGCCCTCCATCCCTCAGCACTGCAGGCTCTTATCAGGTTGCCTTCTGCGACCTGGCCCTGGACCCATCAGGAGCAGGACCGTTGCTGGCGAGGGAGCGTGAACAGGGGGCAGGGACTGGCAGCACGATTTCAAAGGCATGGCATGTTGGCCATGGCTCCAGGGTCTTACACAGACACTCTGGGGTCATCCGTAAATCCTCACTTTCTCTCACACCCCACATTGCATCTTCTTGGAAAGTCTCCTTGGCATTATCTTCCTTGTTGTTGTTGTTATGTGCTGTCGAGTCAGACCTGACTCATAGCGACCCCTCCTTGGGTTTCCAAGGCAGCATCACTGTGGAAGTAGATTGACCAACCTTCCTTCTGAGCAGTGGCTGGTGGGTTTGAACCGCCAGCCTTCTAGTTAGCAGTCAAGTGCCTTAGGCACTATGCTACCAGAGGTCCTATTATCTTCTTTACATGTCCCAAATCCAGCTGCTCCTCACAGTCCCCATTGCTTATTAGTGTCAGATTGATGTACTGACAGTGTCCCTAAAGGGCAGAGTGGAACTACACCAGAGGGTTTGCAAGGCGGTAATCCTTCCACAAGCAGACTCCCTCATCTTCCTCCCAGGGAGTGACTGGTGGGTTTGAACCTTGGACCTTTCAGTTGGCAGCCGAAAATTTAACCACTGTATCACCAAGGCTCCTTCCCCATTGTTACTAGGGTCTAAGCCACCATCTCTTGACTGGATTATCAGACAGTTTTCCTGACAGGCCTCTTTGCTTCTGTACTCTGCACCCTACATTGCTCTGTGAGGGAAAGCTCATTACTCCTTTATACAAAACCCTGCAGAGCTCCCTGTTTCACTCAGAGATGACCAAGACACACATGTACACCTGCACACACACATACACATGCACACACATGCGCACACACATACACATGCACGCACACACATATGCACGCACCCACATTCACATCCACAAGCACACACACACATATGCACGCACCCACACTCACATCCACAAGCACACTCACATACACACACCTGGTACTTACTACCTTTCTCTCTTTTCCCACCCTCTTTCCCATCACACTTACCACCTTCTATCATGTCATCATTTGCTTATGTATTGTAATCATTATCACTGGATGCTGTCCTCAGTAGGCTGTCAGAGCAGGAGACATTCTCTGCATTGTCCACTATTATGTCCCAATCACCTATGACAGAACTGAGTAAGTCCTAGGTGACAAAACACTTGTTTGTTGAATGAAGGGATGACTTTCCCTCTCTCCGACTCTGTTAGTTAGTCTCTTTTTTAATGACATTTATATTATTTTGCCTTCTATTGTGGTTATTCATTGTGGCCATAGTGTCATATACTCTCAGATGTACCACATTTTGCTTCAGTGGCCAGAAAACCTGATGGTCACGTGGCCAGCCCTAGAGTCCAAAAGCACACTTGCTGGTCTTATGAGATGGTCTCATCTGAAGCCTCAAAGTCCATAGCAGGTAATGTGGTGGACTCAGGTATAAGCATGGTCCTTAGCCTTGACAAGAGCCATGAGACACAAGGCAGACAGTGTTTAGGAGACAATGGGTTGTTATGGGTCATGGTGCTGGAGAGGGAGGAGAGAAATCACTGCTGTGCTCTGTCATCTGACCCTTGGAGGAGGAGGAGATTTTCACTGGAGGTCAGAGAGGAAGGTGAATGGGATGAAGGCCCTCTTGAAGGAGAGGTGTCATGATGAAACACTTCCTCATGTCCTTTCTTATTTTAAACATCTAAGACCTGATTGTGCTATTTTCTAGTTATTTTTATCAGTGGATTATTGTAATAGCTGTCAATAAGTAGTACATCTGTAAAAAGCTGAGTTGGCAAAAGGTGTATGTAGATATATTTACAACAACGACCAAAAATAAATAAATAAATAAACCAAGTAGCTGCTGAGGCTGCTTGTATACAGCCAAACAACACCTCATGGGGTTTGGCTCCTTGTCTGGAGATTTCGGGACATGGTTTCATGGGCCATCCCAGTTCATTGACCTAATAACGGGTTTAACACTTCTGTTCTATCTCCTAGTTCACTGTGTAGTTCTTAGGGTCTTCAAAGTGTGTAAGTGGGCAGCCAAAGCTCAACAGTTGGTCTCTATTCATGGGGAGCAACAGAGGAAGAACTAGAAGAAGGGTATGGAATATGTGGCTGAACGCCTCCATGAGCAACTGGCACTTTGTCTTGAGACCAGAACCGGATGATGGTCAGTTCACATGACAGCACATGCTGACCAAGGATTCTGGAGGAATCGGATCAAAAGGGAGAAAATGTAGGGCAGGATTTCAAATTCTCATAGACTCTTGACTTCCTCGAGCCAGGGGGTTGGATGAACCCCTGAAGCAATCGCCTTGAGATAATTTTAAAAACTTAAGCCAAAGATATCCTTTTAAGAACACTGAAAACATAAATAATAATAATAATAATTAATAAATAAAGATTTACAGCTTTGGAAACCCCAAAAAAAATCCCTTTAAGGCTTCTTAAAACCAAATAGTGGTTTAGCTTAACTAGTAAAGAATGTGTGCCTTAGCACTGTACTCTTTTAAGATCTATCTACATGGGATCACATTGACAACAGACAGGAAACTAAGGGGCAGTGAGTTTATGTTAACAGGACAGGAGCAACTTGGATGAGGAGAGTTAGGTGGTTGCACAACTTGAAGAATGTAACTTATCTCACTGAATTGTACGTGTAGAGACTGTTGAATTGGTGTGTTTTGCTGTGTATATTTTCAAAAATAACAACAAAGTATGTGCAAAAACAATTAAAAAGTCATACACACTCACTGTAGAATATGGAAGAAAAATAAGTAACTAAAAGGAAAATTAGTGGAGTCTTGTGTCAGACAACCTAAGGTCTGTGCATAATCCCATCATGTCAGTACCTGCGGAGAAATAAAGATGTATGTATCTTTATGCCTAAAATGAAGGTAAGCTCCACGTTGTCTACCTCACAGTGGTGCTGGGAGAAGTGGGTAAGATTTGTCAGAGCATTTTAAAAATGGTAAGAAAGCTAAGTCCTCCACGAGCTTATCTGATAAGTGCCCCTTACATTTTGGAAGGTATTTAAGAAAACCGATTTAAATTTGGGAATTTTTTATTCACACTTTAAAAGGAAAATACCTTTTATTCTTTGAAGTAGATTGTTTCTATGATTTCCTTCCTATTGTAGTTGAAGTTAAGCTAGTGTATTATTTAGTTGCAGGTAACGGTGCTGGAGAGAAGGGTCGGGGGTAGGGGAACTTGGAGCCTCAGATTCAAAGCGCTTCACCATTTGAAAGCATTGGGCTTTCCCTCTGGTTTCCCGATGATTCAGGACAATCTCCCACTTCCCTGTGTCTGCCTCTCTTCCCAGGTGCTTTGGCCTTCAATCCAGATTCCAGAAATGGCCACCAGCCTCCTCCCTATTTGGTCTACCTGAAATCCGATTACCTGCCCTGTACTGGAGCCCTGGTCCACCCTCTCTGGGTCATCACAGCAGCTCACTGCAACCTGCCGTGAGTGACAGCCCCACAGCCACTAGGGACCCTCAGACTGAACACAGGCCCTGGCCTGGAACCACTTCCCAGTAGAACAAGTTGCAGTGACAGATACAAGTCCATGGGGAGGAGCTGAAGAGGCCCATAAGGCAGGGAAAGCTATCTCTGGTCGATCCTCTCATGATCTCCATATTGTTCCAGGAAGCTTAAGGTGGTCTTGGGGGCAACAAATCCGGGAGACCCCAATGAAAAGCACGTGCAAGTGGTTAATTATGAGAAGGTGATCCGCCACCCATACTTCACAGTCACCTCCATTGAGTATGACCTCATGTTGATCAAACTGGAGAGGGAAGTTCACCTCAATGACTACGTGCAGCTGGTCAGCCTGCCCCACCACGACGTCCCTGAACACACCACATGTACTGTCTCCACCTGGGCCTACAGCCTGCATAGTATTGGTGAGTGCCGTCAGGATGAATCTTTCTTCTCTCAGGAGCGGCGTCTCCATCCAGCTTATGCAGTTCAACCAACTCTCCTCTAACCTCTTTCTTTGTCCTTCTCGCCTCCTGTCCCTTCCCGACCCCACTGAGTGAGCCCTCCAGGCTTCCCCACTGTCTCCTTCACCTTTGCTTCCATATATGGCACCAAACCAAACCAAACTCACTGCTGTAGAGTTGGACCTGACTCATAGCGACCCTTCCTTGGCTTTCTGGGGAGGTATCATTACAGAAGTAGATTGCCCAACCTTCCTTCTGAGGAGTGGCTGGTGGGTTTGAACTGCCAGCCTTCTGGTTAGCAGTCAATGCCTTAGGCACTACACCACCAGAGCTCCCTCCATATATGGTAGATGTGCAGTTAATGGAAAGAGGATGTTTGCAGGCTAGCCCCAATTCATTGTGTTACAGCAGGCCCCTTTACATTTGGAGCTGACTCTAAAATTGGGCACTACCCTAAATCAGATAAGTCCAAAGTATTTTAGGCAACAAAGCAACACAAGGTCTTGAAATACCATGAAAGAAACATTCATGTATTAAACACAAGATAAAAGCACCCATAATAATACGCTAACTTGGACTTTCCATATGCACAATTGCAATAGAGATAATGAGTTTAAGGACAATATTTCTGAAAGAAGCACTTTTAAATGATAGTCTAAACATTCACTCATTTCTTCCAACAACTGACATTTAAAAAAAAAAAATCAGTGGAAGTCTTCTACAGCTAACGCAAGATTGTAATGGAGATTAAGTTAAAAGTTTAAGGAGAAGATTTCTGAAAAAGGCTTTTATTTGGTAAATTTTGAACTCTCGCCCATTTCTTCAGAAAACTGAACAAAGACTGACATTCTGTTTCCCTCAATCGGTGGAAGCAGACGTCTTCTACCCATAATCCAAAGCTGCTGACCTAACGGTCTCTGCCGGAGGTTTCTTCTGGCCGTTCTGCCTTAGATCCCATGAAGAAAGCTTGGAACAATTGAGACACTTCTGTGTCCTTTCTGAGTTCCACACATCTCTCACTAACCCACCTCAGAACCTTCATGCAAACCCTAACTCAGCGTTTGGTGATTACCCTGTTCATCAAGGCAGCGGTGAGCCCTGAGGAAGCGGCCTAGGTTAGCTGTAAGCAACAGGGAACCATGCCGTCTTCCCTTATGAAGAATTAGGAACACGGCCTCTTCGCAAGGACGTTTCTCTGGGTGAACTGAATCTACGCCTTGTAGATCACCCCACAGCCTGGAAAGGGAGCTCACTCTAAACCCTTCTCTTGGCCCACCTTTCCTCATCTGCATTTGCTTTCTGCTCCCAGAAGCCCAAAAGTTGTACATAGGTCCAGAGGGTGGTGCCGTTATTCAGACGTATTGAATACTCTTTTACTAAATTCTCTCAGATCTTAGGGCACATTTTGTTGGATATTGAATTTCGAGAAGTAGAAATTCCTTGTCCTTTCAGGGTCAGTTTAATTTTTTTAAAATAGCCAGATGCCCCGCTGGTAAACAGGATGTTTGATTAATCTCAATGATTAATCACTGTGGTTAAAAAAAAAGGGGGGAGGAGACTATAAAAAATTTGAATCTGGCTCATGTATAGTGAAGAAATCAAATGTCATATTGCACTGGGAAAATCTGCTGCAAAAGACCTCTTTGAAGTGTTAAGGAGCAAAGATGCCCCTTTGAAGACCAGTGTGTGCCTAACCCAATCCACAGTATTTTCAGTCACCTCATACGCATGTGAGAGCTGGACAACGAATAAGGAAGACCGAAGAAGAGTTGATGCCTTTGAATTGTGGTGTTGTCAAAGAATGCTGAAAATACCAAGCACTGCCAGAAGAACGAACAAATCTGTCCCGGAAGTAAGGCAGCCAGAATTCCCCTTAGAAGCAGGAATGGCCAGATTTTGGCTCATGTACTTTGGTCATGTTATCAGAAGGGACCAGTCCCTGGAGAAGGATATTATACTTGATAAAGTAGAGGGTCCGTGGCAAAGGGAAGACCTCAAGGAGATGGACTGACACGATGGCTACAACGATGGGCTCACGCCCAGCAAGGATTGTGAGGATGGCGCAGGCCTGGGCAGTGTGTAGTTCTGCTGCACACAGGATTGCTATGAACCAGAGACAGCTCGGCGGCACCTAGCAACGTGGATAGCTCAGCCAGCATTTTCTAAGGAGATGTTCGCAAAGTTGTTGCGTCCGAAGTGATTGCTGGACTGGAAGGGAAAACAGAGATCCCCAGGGTTTTGTTTCCACCAACTAACAAACACATTAATTTTCAATTTGGAAAACCCAACACACAGTCTCATTATGCTGCTTTCAAATAAAGGCATTGAAACTACACACAGCTTCCATTCAGAAAATCAGCATTTCAAAACAAAGAACCTTACCCCCAAGGAGAGTCCCGCCACAAGCAAGCCCACCACATGCACAGCTAGGACTCTGGCCTGCGTTTGCTGATTTTGCTTCACATTTGAGAAACTTTCTTAGGCTCCTGCACAGGCCACAGTAGTTGTGACCCATTCATTTAAAGCACACTTGGGGTTGCTCCGAGTGGAAAGGCAACTCAACGGCACCAAAACAGTTAAAGGAAAGAAACTGAATGAAGAATCAGGAAACTCAGCTTTAACTCCTGGGTTGACCACTCACTAGCTGAATGGTTTCAAGCAAATGACTTCCTTTGAGTGCATTTCCAAGCTGACAAATGAGAAACTAGGATAAAAATCTGAAACTTGGGACTGTCCAGTGGATTTTGATTCTTATCAACCTAGTGGGACAGAGTGGAACTGCCCCACAGGGTTTGCAAGGCTGTCAAGTCTTCAGGGAAGCAAAGTCCAAACCACACCCACTGCTGTGGAGTCCATTCCGACCCACAGCGCCCCTAGAGGACAGAGTGGAACTGCCCCACAGGGTTTGCAAGGCTGTCAAGTCTTCACAGAAGCAAAGTCCAAACCACACCCACTGCCGTGGAGTCCATTCTG